CAATCACCAGTACGGCCAGGGGTGGATCCAGAAAATATTTTTGGAGGGAATCCAGAGTAGCTGAGGATTTAAGTTCGTGTCTTGGGGAGGAGGGAGCGGGGTGTCGTCAATTGAAAATTGAAGAACGGGAGGAATCATCTTGTTGCAGTTTCTCTTCATGGTGGAGTAAAAATTAACTACATCTTGTTAAATTAAATTATTACAAAGTTTTTCTTATTTAGAATAATAATTTTATAGCCATTATTAAAAATATCGTATTTTATTATACAGGGTGTTTCAGTTTATTGTTGCATAACTTTAAGATTCGATATAACACGAAATACAGGGTGTTGAAATTTACTTTTTAAAATAGATATTTTTAAATATTTCGAATAATACTTGATGTATAACAGTGAAAATTGGGATACGAGGGTTTTTTGGTACGACAAAACGAACCAGGGGCATAGTTTTACTGTAGCCGCAAGAGGGCACTCTCTACGTATACTTTACCTGTAGTGTATTAAAATGACCGAAGATTTTTTCTTAGTGCAATTTTTTACTTTTTGAATAAAAAAAAATGATTCTTCGCACTTTTCTGCATAAAAAAGCTTTTTTGAGAGTTTTCGTTATAGTTAGCGGTTTTTGAGATATTTCGATTTTTAAGGTTCAATGCACTTTTAATTATTTATGGGAAAATAATATTTTTTTTTTAAATTTTCGATTTGGGCATTACAAGTAACTAAGATGATTGTTTAGATTGTGTTTTTAAACACAGCAATAATTCCTAGCTCCAAATAAACACAAAAAAACAGAATATTAATTTGACTAAATTTCCAATATTATTTTTAACAAATTAAATTAATTATTTACAACTAAAATGCTATTGGAAAGTTAGGACAAACATACAAAATCTAAAGTAGTTGCTCGAAATGCAAACCCAATTGTTCAATACACAATTCACATCTTCGAATGATCGAACGTGTTATAGCATTATTCAAATAAGGCCTTATTTCATCACATGCATTCCTGATTCTCTATTAGCATATCTCTTGTGGTTACGGGAGTCTGGTACACTTTTTCTTTTAGAAATCCCCACACAAAGAAATCTAATGGATTTAGGTCAGGGGATCGTGGAGGCCAGGCGACTGGTCCTCCATGGCCGATCCATCTTTCTGCATAATTTTCGTCCAGCCAGTTTCTAACTATTCTCGAATAATGAGCTGGACAACCATCAAGCTGGAACCAGGCCAATCTTCTTAAATCTAACATAACATCATCCCACATATTGGCATGTTCAGCCTTCAACACACGTTCACACTAAATTCATGCTGAAAATTTCTTTCCCGAACTGCATGCGGATTTTCATGCGACCAAATATGTTGATTATAAAAATTTACCACTCCACGTCTAGTGAAGCATGACTCATCGGTCCATAAAACGTTACTTAAAAACTCCCTATTATTATCAGTTCTATCAAAAATCCACTGACAAAATGTTATTATTTGTTCTCCGTACCCTGGCTGTAGTCCTTGCACAGGTTGCAAATGGTAAGGAGGTCTATGGTTATTTCTAAGAACACGGTGAACATGGCTTGCTGAAATTCCTAAGGCACCAGAAACTCTCCTAACACTTGTGGTAGGATCTCTATCAAACTCACGCAGAATCATACAAGTAAATCTGCGCTGACGAACATTTATGTTTTGATCCCTTTGGATATTTCCAAAACCATTTTCAATTATTTGGCGATGCACTCTTACAAATATTGAGCGAGTTCGATGTCGTCTGTTTGGAAATCTTCGTGCGTATCCTCTGGCTGCTGCTGCTGCGTTTCCATTTACAAAGCCATACACAAAATGAATATCCGCTAGCTCTTGATTGGAGAATAAAAATGGCATTTTTATAAAACTTACAAAAAAACAGGTAAAAGAAACTAAATTTCGTGCATTCACAAATGCAAAAAACCTTTCAGGTTTCAACAGACAACAAAACTGACTGTCAACTAATTGACGTTTAACCTTATTCTGCTTTCAGTTCCAAAAATATTTGCAGGCACAGCCTACTTCTAAAAATTATCGAGATACTGACTTTTTAACGTTATTTTATCATAAATAATTAAAAATGCATAGAACCTTAAAAATCGAAATATCTCAAAAACGGCTAACTATAACCAAAATTCACAAGAGAGCTTTTTTATGTTGAAAAGTGCGAAGAATCAGTTTTTTCATTCAAAAAGCAAACAATTGCACTAAGAAAAAATGTTCGGTAATTTTAATACACTACAGGTACAGTAGAGAGCGCCCTCTAGCGGCTACAGTAATGCCCATGGTTCGTTTTGTCGTACCAAAAAACCCTTGTATACCAATTTTCACTGTTATACATCAAATATTGTTCGAAATATTAAAAAAAAACTATTTTAGAAAGTAAATTTAAACACGCTGTATTCCGGAAGATACGCATTTTTCGACCCATGTTTATATAGACTTTATGCATTCATTTTAAAAGTTCCATCGAATCCTAAAGTTATGCAACAATAAACTGAATCGCCCTGTATATTATACATTTATAAATCCGTAACTCAGCATGTGAAACTATTTCCCAGAATCGGGCGGTGGGCCGCAGAATTTCCACACCAGAGGCTTGATTTTAGTTGAGGTTCGACAGTTGAAATTGATGCAGATGGCGCTTTGTGACGATATACTTGATTCGCTATGATAATTTTGACATCTGATTACATTGATCTTCTATATTCAAATTCTCATGGAAGTGTCAAAATTATCATAGCTAATCAAGTATATCGTCACAGGGCGCAATCGAAAACAATTTCAACGATCGAAACACATTTAGAATCAAGCCCCTGGTGTGGGCGTTCTGTGGCACACTGCCCAATTCCTTGGAATTGTTCCACATGCTGCGTTGCGGATTTATAGGATGGTGGACTTTTTTTATTAGAAATCGGCCCCTCTTGTTGTTTTTTTTTTGTCGGAGCCTTTGTCTAACCCTCTTGGGGATCTAGCCGTGGCATTAACTACACTCAACCATCACGCTGAGGGGAACCGTCTGCAGGGATAGTCCGAGGCGAATTTGAGTGGGACTCACGCCTGTGAGGAGCAATTCTCCATCTTTGGGAACCCTCATTGTTCGAGGATTCTTCCTTCCAGTTCTACCTTCGGGTTCTACCTTTGGGTTCTACCTTCAGGTCACATCTGGAACTTCCTGCTCTTGGTTGCCTACCGGCAAAGGCCAAGCACCTGCATAGGTAGTTTTTTTTCATTTTTCATTTTAATATTTACGGGAAACCATTCAGCTACATACACATACACATATTAATTCTCTTTAGCCTCCAGGACTTTTCGATAATTTTTTTTTAATTTTTTTGTTGTTCAATAAATGTCTGTGTGCCTTATGAGTTTGTGTCTCCTTAGTCTAGAGACCCACCAGTTGTTACTTTTTATTTTATTTCCTGGTTTTTGAAACTAGGTGGCGCCCAAGCCGAAACCGCTTTTCATCCAAAAATCAAGGTACAAGGAACCCCACCTTGATGTCTCATAAATATCGACTAACCTAGTTTTGGCAGGATAGCAATCTGCAAACTAAAAAACACCACAACACGAAATTTTCCTTAAAAACTCAGATATTTTGGGGTATCCCGACACCCAGGACACCCATCCGGTATCGGCACTGACTGCGGTATAGGTCTAGTGAAGGCAGACACACGTACATCAAACAAGCATGTATGCCCCACAATAAAACTAGTTACTGGTTCTCCAAGGTTTGACACATCTTCGGCCCATACGCCGAAAATTCAGGAGGCTCAGAATTTTTTAGACACAGGCAGGATCTAATCTGTCTGCTTTCCGACCCAGTAACTACGACGAATTGCATACAGTGTTGTTTCATGCTTTCCAGTAACCATCAGTACGGTATAGGTATGGTCATGTGGAGAAATACAGTAGGATGAGGATCACCTGAGCCTGAGAAAGTTTTGCCAACCGTGGGAAAAAGCGGTATCCTTTAAATTGTGCTGGTGGTCCCGCTAGTGGCGCTGGTGGGATGGTGATGGTGCTGCTGCACTCGCTGATCGTGTTATTGGTATCCGAGGCCGCACCATAAGCAAGACCAGCAGTAGTACCAGCAACACCATCAGCGAGACAAGCAGCATCACAAGTGGACCACACCCTCATACAAAAGATACCACTTTTTCCCACGAGCCGCAAAATTTTCCCAGGCTCAAGTATACCAGTACATACAGCATATATTTTGACCAATTTTAAAATATCTCCACAATACATATTTATGATACTTACTTGTATAATAGCTATAAGCGATTTCGATAATAACTGTTTGTCTTAACGTTGTAATACTGTCGAGAATAATGTTTTGTTTGTATGATTTGGACCTTTGCACTAATGTAGAGAAAACAAAATGTCTACGATTCCACATTCAAAATCATATTGATAATATACAAATCACGGTTGGCAGCGCAATAAACAAATTGAATTTGGTCACTTTCATGTTTAGAAACTTACTCTATTAAACACACCTCAAATAATCTCACTATATTACGTCTAGGTCGAGTCTCCACCCCGTGATGGGATTTGCTTTTGGAGTATTTCTAATCTTGCTCTGGATGAGTTCATTGCACATTGCACAAGATTGTACGAACTACTGCTGGTATTCCTAGCACTCAGTCATTCTTAAACAGTCTTATAAATTTATTATATATTTATAGTTATATTTATATGTATTTAACTATAGAAAATGATTTCCAACTATACACGAAATAAATATAAGATAATCGTCTACCCGATTATATAAAGGTATAAAACAGGTAAGAAATCCTATAAGAAAGAACTCGAAAGTTATTTGTCGGAGCACTGTTTTTTGAGCTTGTCAGAGTTTTCGTAGTTTTTCTATCAAACTTTTTTATTCACCTTTATCCTTTAGTCTTAGAATTTATTATACTGACAATTTCTGTACAGAGATATCTGCGATTGGAAAATAAATTGAAGTGCAATTTTTAGTCTACTCAGTTGATGGAAAGTGTCTACCTCAGCCGTTGGAATGAAACACCCTGTATGAAATCAAAGAAAGACATTGTTTTTGTGTTGATGAAGTCAAAAGTTCCAGCTAAGATCACAGCCTTCAAAGTACTTACCTTGAACTACGAAACTTTCTTGAAGGTAAATGAATACGTTTCCATACGCTAGGTTTAAAGTTCAATATGCAGAACTCCAAATTAATAAAATACACAGAATTGCAAAAGTGGAGCACTCATATCATTGAATACAGAGCAATAAACATAAAGTGTTGGTACATCATGTTTTGATGAGATAGGCTATTTTTGGATAAAACTCCTAGACCAGCGACATTTCAGAAGCTCGAACGGAGCTTTAGAATCATAGCAATCTTCCTAACAATATCTTCTCTGTTATAGGTTGTGAAGCTTTCATTTTCTTTCTACACTGTGTTATCTACTGTTGCCAACTGATAAGCACAAAGGATCACACTATTCACAAGTCAAAGACGCTAATATCATGGAAACGGGTTAAAATTGTTACAAGAGAAGTCCTACGTATAATAAATTAGTTTAGATGCATTAATGTTGTTATTACTGATGCGGCTAATAAAGAATAATAAACGTCTTTTTATTTCGGCGAAGTTTAGCTTTATAATGGAAAAATAAATACAAACATGAATTAAATATACTCAATGACATCAAAAGTGTTACGCCCAGGAAAACAATTTCTTCAACTTCTTGCAATGAGGTAGTCATCAAGAATGAGACGATAACATTCCCAAGAAATTTTATTGACAAGTACAAAAATTAATAATGTGTTAGGAAACCCCGCAGTTGAATACACTCCTGGATACGTCTAGGCATCGAAAAATTGAGATGGCTGATGTCTGGTTGTGGAACCTCATTCCAAGCAACTTGAACTTCGGGGATCAGCTGCGGCAAAGTCTGTAGCGAATGGTGCAAGTGGATAGTCTCCTCACCATCATATCAGACACATGTCCTGCTTCTTGAAGAAAGTTCTGAGTATGACTAGCAATAAGGGAAGGCGTATTGCCTTGCTCAAAAAGGACGTGTGGAAGGTCTTCTGGATACGGCAGTGAAGTGGTTTGTAGTACATCATCAACATAACACGCAGCTGTCATTTTTCCTTGAACAAAGAGAAGGGGGCATGAGCTACTATAGGCAATGGCCCCCAAACCATTACTCCAACAATCCTGTGTACATGTCTCTCAACAGATAATCCAATATCACGCCGTTCTCCACGACGGCGTCTTAAGGTGCGTATATGTTACATATGCCGAGGGGTTCGCGGGCCGCTTGTGAGCAACTTGTTCGGCTAATTGGGACGGGGTGTATGGTTCCAAACGAACTGCTTGTGAGCAGCTCGTGAGCCGCTCGCGACGAGCCGCGGCCTGTCGGTTTTTTCGACGAACACAAAGGAATTCGCAGTGCATATTGGGACGTGTTTAGACAAGGTTCGTTGTTTTTCCATAGCTCGCGAGCGAACTTTATTTTTCTTCAATAAAGTTATGGATTCATGGTCGGAAGAAAAAATATTATGTCTGATAAACGTTTATAAAATCAAAACGTTATTATGGGATCCTAGAAATGAAAATCACTTAAAAAAAAATTTGAAAGAGGACGCTTGGCGGGAAATTGCGGATGAAATGGAAACCACTGCTGAACAGTGCAAAAAGAAAATAATAAGCCTCTTAGCTTCTTTCCGCCGGGAGAAAAATAAAACAAAGCAGGGGACTAGTACAGGAAAAGGTAAATAAATGAAATAATCAGATAAATTAGTTGTGTCTTATTTAAATAATAATACAAAATATTTTTGCTAATACTAATTTAATTTTTAATTCAACTAAATAATATGTTTTTAATTAAGTTAGTTCACTTGCCGTATATAGTTTTAATCTCGATTTTATTTTTCAGGAAGAGATGAAGCTTAGTGCAGCAGATGGTTTGCCTATGAAGCGTTTAGGTTTTTAGAAGACAGAGATTTGCCACGAAAAAGACTTGCTACGGTAAGTAATTATTGTTATAAATTCAAGCATATTGGTCCTACCATTCTAGAGCTCCATTATTTATAAATTAATTAGCGATTTCATCTCTAACTTTTGTACAATAGTTTGTGGGTCTTCGAGGAATATTTCGTATAGGTACCATAGACGTCATATCTCCTTCATTTCTCCATGATTCCTCAGTTAAATTTCCATTAACTTCATAGTCTAATGTGCCAAAAGGGGTATAAATATTTGGTGAGTGTTTTCTGAGATAATTATGCAAAAGAATGACTGTCATTATAACCCACTCTGCTTTTGCAGGCTCTAAGAGCATTGGTTTTCTTAACACCCTAAACACTGCACTTGATATAACGAATGCCAAACGATAATTGAAAATTCGTTGAGGAGTTCCTTTTGGAAAGTCCCCAGTATAGGGCTTCATGAGATTTTCGCTTAAAGCAAATGCGCTATCGCCGGCAAAAAAATACGGTATTTGCATAGAACGTCCTTCTAGTTCTTCTGGTGTTGGAAGTCCTAGTCTGTTTTCTGGAAGCTGCTGATATAATTTGCTTGCCTTAAAAACCCCCCCAATCAGAAATTTTTCCTTAGCAGCCTACGTCAGCAAACATAAAGTTATAATCACCATCAACCAGTGCGAAAAGCACAATACTAAAATTGGATTTATAATTGAAGAACTCGGTACCCGATTTCACTGGTGCTTGTAAAACAACGTGTTTTCCATCTAGGGCACCAACACAATGAGGAAGGTTCCAACGAGTTTCAAATATCTTGCTAACTTGTTTCCAAGCTGTGGGAGTCTGAGGTAGCTGAAATGAAATAACAATTATTAATTTTGACCTGTTTTATTCATTATTAGCTTATCTTAATAATTTATTTATTTAATATCATTTTTTGCGCAACTTCTTTGGTGTATTTTGGAATAAGATAAATCCACCCTTCTCAAATAATAAAAAAAGGAATCGCAAATACTATGTTAACACAATTTCATTTCAAAATTTCATTATTTATAAACTACATATAAAGTTACTGAAAATGTATTTAATAGGAGCTGGATGATGTTAACGAAGCTGCCCTATCTTCCGAACAAATGGAACAAGAGGCGATACCAGAGACGCCTACGCTACCATCTACCTCCAAATCTATAAAGCGATCAAAAACAAAACAAGATAATGTTTCCTCTCCAATAATGAGTGATGCATTTCGGATTTTGAAGAATGCTGCGAATAAAATGGACAAAGAGCCAACTCAACCCAGTGAAATAGATTTATTTTTTAATTTTGTTGCTGCAAAGGTTCAAAAATACCCCCCTCCAATACAACAGACAATTCAACATGCCGTTTTTGACCTTATTATTAAAGCTGATAGAGGATTTCTTAAACCGACTTCAATTCAATCTTACAATGATTCTCAACCTACTTCCTACATAGTCACAAGCTACCAATCATATCAATTCACAACCTACTTCTTCGATGTATTCCCAACCTACTTCACATAATCTATATTCTCAATCTTCTGAAAGTTATTATTCACAACCTCTGCAAGTAATAACCGTTCCTGCAACTGAAACAACTGAACCATAATTGTCCAACCCATCATCGCTACAATCACCTGTTTCGGCACTCACATCAGAAAATTATGAAGATTTTGTGTAACGTTTTTAAGTTCTATTTTTGTTTGTTAACTTAGTGGTGGAAATTACTTTAGAGTGAAGAAAAATATATTTTTGAATTACACACAGGCCTTTAATTTATATATTAATGTTGTTACCTTGATATATCCCCGCAATTCCTTAATTAGTGCAGCACAAACTTGGGGTACTCACGCCCAATCGACTGCTTGGAAATTCTGAATAGATACTGAAGGCTAGTATATGAATCTCCCGTGGCAAGAAACCGAAGTGTTACGGCTAACCTAGAATATTAATTTAAAAAAATTGTTAAAAAACAAAGCTACCTGTCCACGGTACACCGACTTAGCTATCTTGGGCAGAGATTGGAGTACGAAAATAAGTCTCCTGTTTTGAAATTTGGGGTCCAATCCTTTGCAGCAGATTCTCAAAGTCAGTAGGTGTCATTCGAGTGAAATTTTTATACTGTCCGCTTATTTCTTGCGACTTTAGGTCCATTAAAACTCCCGTACCACTGCGTTTCTTGAATAAATTAGTACGCCACCAACGTCGTTGTCTTCTCTTTTTTTTATTTACATCAGCCATTACTAAAACTGCAGCACTCATCACTAAAATAGTATAATTTTCGTTTCGCGAAGCCATACTGCATTTGTCGACTGCGATGTTTGTTTGCGTTTGGTGCGCTGAATCTGTGAATCGCTGGAGGTTCACGGAAAAAATCATTTCAACGAACCACCATCGAGCGGCTCACAATCGGCTCGCGAACCGCTCGGCTCGCATATGTATACGCACCTTTACCCTTCTACGACTATCGTGCGTACCTAGACGGGATCGCCATTTGTCGCTGAAGATGACATTATGTCATTCTGCCTCCCAATGCTGCCGCTCTCCGCTCCAGTTCAAACGTAGACGACAGTAGTCCGCAGTTAGAGGAAGCACTAAACATGGATGGTATTAAAAAAGTCCAGAGGCTCGAATGTGGTGATAGAGTGTACGCACAGTAGCAGGTCAACCTTCTTCTCCAAACCATTAGTCAGCGATCTGACGCGCAGTAGCAAAGCTGTCTCGTAGTGCTAGTTTTCTGAAGCGCCTATCTTGACGCCCTGTGGTACGCCTTGGTAAACCAGTTGGCTTTCTTCGTATTCCTCTACCTCCTTCTATCCACACACGACACACACGCATTACCGTGATTGCAGTACAATTAACACGGCCGCCAATTACGCGATAGGACAAACCAACATTTCGATAGGCAATAATTCTACCCATGTCAAAGTCGCTAACTTGGTGATAATTTGTAAGTCTTCAACTCGAGGCACTTTGCTATGCTTAACCCAAGTAAACGAAAGGGCAATAACTAAAAATATCTGTACTACTCAGCTCCCAGAAACTGCTTGCTTCACAAAAACTAAGAGATAACATTCTAACGAAGGTAAACAAAAACAAAATAACAAGTTGGAGAAATTATTTTTTCTTGTAATGTCACTCAGGATACATAAATGACAATAGGACTCATGATATAATGCAAAAGTACATATATAATGCAAGCACTCTGATAACTGAATAAATACTGTTTTTATTAGCCGAAGTGAAAGATTTTTATTCTTGTTACTATTAAAGCAGATGCGCGGTAATTATTAAAGCCATCAAATGTCATGTCAGTTTAGTTTTAAAGGTGAAGTCTTTATGGAGAAATGGAGTTCTGTGCTTAGGCATGGTGAATGCCTTTGGGAAGCGGAAGTCTCTAAAATTAAGACACACACGATTTATTAGCCTTTGCTTCAAAAACGAAGGTGACGAGGTGATTTGGAGTTTATGAACATAGCATAGTAACTGATATTTAATAATAATTTTGTTACATTCAACCAACCTGGTTTCTGAAAAGATATCGAACTATGGTCGTCCTTTATCAAGCTTTCTGTCAATCCACAGTAAGAATTTTGAATTCTTTGCAAGCGATTTATAAATACCGAGTCTAAAAATGAACGATAAACATTATCACAATATATAATTGTTGAAATGGTCAATGTTTGGCATAGAGTTGTCTTGGTTTTGTAGTCTAAAATTTGTTAATTGAGGTATAAAACTGGCGAAGAACTGGTAAACAACTTTTATTAATATGATTTACATGTGGAATGAAATCTAGACACTTAAAATACCTAAGTTTTCAACTAATCCATGCATTTGAATAGTTTCGCTGCCCAATGATAGCTTGTATATCTTTTAATATATTTCCTTAATTTTTTTGTGAGAGAATATGATAACTTTTGGTTTTGTAGGATTTAAACGGAGGTAATGACTTTTTGCGTAATTATCAATAGCCCTTAGATCCTCATTTATTTGAGATTCTGCAACTATATGTTTGTCATTCCAGGAATTTTTGTAGAATTGAGAATCATTAGCAAAGAATTGTATATTGAAATATTTTACCGGCTTATCCAGATCATATAGCTAATGAATAAAAAGAGTGATCCAAGCACTGTTTCTTGGGGCATTTTCGAGGGTATTAAGGTTTCTGTTGATGAGTTCATATCAATCCCAACTTTTTGCAATCTGTTTCTTATGGAGTTATTGATCAAACCTATTGACGAGTAAAAAACCAGTTATATTCAAATTTAGCTAATAAAATTGAACGATTTATCTGTCGAATGCTTCGGTTAAATCTAAGAGGACTAAAGATATCGATAAATTTTGATCGCAAGCCTCCACGATGTTATATGTTAGATCTAAGTGCATTGTAGCCTTGGGTGGTAGTATTTCAGAATGTACAATGAAATCATTTATCGGTATATATGTACATCACTTTCTCTAATAATTATGATAATATGTGTAGGATTCTTACAGGTCTTGAATCATAATAGCAAGTGGGGTATTACTTTTAGCTATCGGACTAGCAATTGAATAGATAATACAAAGGTCTTACAGATGATGTGCCGCAAGCCATTCAAAAATGGTAGGTAGTATGTACCGAGGCTTTTTCACGTCTAAAGAGTAAACAGTTCTGAACTTATTTTTTTATTGATATACACGGATTTACCAATAGATCATGGGCACTACCGACCTTGGTAAAACCTTCTACAACAACAGAAGTAAACTTAAACTCGGTTGACAAAACCAGATCCAGACTCATTTTGCTTTCCACACCCATTGGACTACTGTCATCGCCAAGATTTTTGAAATTAAGAATGAGAATGGTAAAGCAATTTTTGAAAATCAGTCCAGTGGCGGACGAGGAAAAGACCAAAAACAAAAAGATGACACAAGGCTCAATTGTTTTTTGCTGTCTTGAAAAAAATGTTAGAGGTGAAAGATTAGAAAGTGGAGGTGGTAGGAGCGTGGGTGAAGAAATATTGTACATTTCTGATGGCAGTATATTTAGAAACCTCTAAACTCAATTATGCTACGTACCTGTAAGGCATATTCCACGCATATATTACCTTTTATATTTGCCCTAAAGACTCTTAGTTATAGAAATGTTTTGTATAAGGGTGTACTAGCCGCTGCTTGCTCTCGCGACCCACACGACAAATTTACCTGAACTATTGTAACTACTAAAGCTGTATAATTTGTTGAATACTAGCTGACCCGAATGTCGTTGTCCTGTCTTAACTATGAACTGGGATGAATAATGAATAATAAAAGGGTAAATAGAAGGAATGTAGGTAATTGTGTAGTGTTTGTACCACCATGTGGCTAGAAAGATACTTGGCAGCACTGCCCTTCCCCCATCAACTTACCTTGAAGGTAGGCATGAAATTAGGCCGAATAATTTTTTTTTCGCCTAATGACATCATTTGAAAGCAATTATTGTATTGCTGGATATGAATCAAGAAGTGAATCAAATCTGGCCCATTTCTGGACACCAATGGATGTAGTGGCTCTGGTGGTGGTACCAATGGAGTCAATTTGATTTTTATTTTGATTCAGGGGATTCATTTTTAAACTTGAAAGCCTTGCAATGTGGACTCACAACGTCCATTCATTCAATAGCAACGATTTGTTGTGAACTGTAATCAACTGCCACGTCATAATTGAATGCAGCTCGATTGGGATTAAATGCGACACATCTACGTTTAAGTCCTTCGATCCAGTTCAATTGCATTTCTCGCTTCTCGTCAATTTGACTTGTTCTTATATATCTTTGACTTTGACAGCATTGAGAGTTCTGCGACCTAGGTTGGTACGTCTAATTGGTGGCATTTTGCAGAATCACAATTTTAATACGAGGCCTGAATGCGGTGGACTAACTTCCACCCTTGTTAATTATTTTTGAACATATACTTCTCAAAAAACTCACTGAACCAACTGAAAACTGGATAAAAGCTTTAATCGAATGGACTGTGTACTACTAATTAAATAAAGAAATATTTTTTCATCGATAAACACTGTTAAATAATATGTATATATATATATATATATATATAACAACAAGTAGGAACATAATGGGCAAAATCCGCAAAAAGGAGGAAAGTGGATTCGAGGATAGGTAACCCGAGCGATACGTATTTCTGCTGGTTGGCTTCATCAGGCCCGAAATGAATGCACATATGAAACTACAAAAGAAGATACACATGCCCACACATCCGGAGACGGGTGTAACCTGAGGAAACGAAGTTGGAGGGAAAAAAAAACGACACACGAAGTCCACAACAAGAGCCAACCTACACATTGTAGTATAAAATGGCTATAAGACCTCGAATTTTCAAGGAGACGTCTAAGTGGCTATAACCGGCCGCGTGGTGTACAGAGTCACACCATGTTTTTACTTTTATTGGTAATTGATCAAAATCAACATACTACAGGTTGAATATTGAACTATTTGACCATTCAAACAAAAGCCAATGTAATGCTAAAATGTTTCTAACCTGATTTAATTCATACTGAAATGTCATTAGACGTCAGACCTTTTCTAGATTCAAACCTGCAAAAGTTATATTCATAGATGATTGAACCTATGTTCTTGAGATACCGAAGCTGCTCGAGAAACAAGATCATTTCAGTTCAATCTCAGTCTGCAGAATCAAAACATCAAAATCATACGAAGACGTTACTAAAACCTTCAACAAATTGGCGCTTGGTGCCCGAACAACTTTCTTTGAATGTAGCAATTTGGGAATTATTGTCTCTGGTGGAGTTTCATATACATAAATCCGAAAAGTTTGCAATCTGATTTTAAATCCGTATAAACTCACGCACCCGCGAAGGCACAAAACTGTGAGGCAAATAAATCATGAGTTAAAACGCTACAACGGAGTTACCTCCAACCCATGGACGTAGAGCGTGGATAAATCTATATATTGAGTATATTTTTTGTTCGAGGCATCGAGTACATCTTGTTACCACCCAGAAATTGCAGTTAGAAAAAGTAGTCACTAACTGGTGACCAGAACAAGGCACGTGGGTGCTAAGAGCCGTATCGTCAGTCGTTTCTACAATTGTAGGACGCCTTTATGGCCTCTTTGATTTTTATGGTTTTCTACTGTTCCGTTTCACCGCTCTGCCTTGAGGTTATGTCACAAGTAAATATTTGCATCACATTCTTCATGCTTTTGATTTATATCATGCGCTTTACCAACCTGAAACTTCCTACGATTCAAAAAGAAAACATAACTTCACAATAGGAGAGCGCTGTCGTCGACAATCAAGGTCATAAAGGCGTCCTACAATTGTAGGAACGATTGACGATATAGCT